AGATGAACATGACACCAAGCTGTGGGGGGGAGTAGCAGATAAGTTGGAGGGCAGGGCTAGGATTCAGAGTGACCTAGACAAATTGGAGGATTGGGCCAAAAGGAATCTCATGAGGTTCAACAAGGGCAAGTGCAAAAAGTCTTATGCTTTGGACGGAACAATCCCATACACCAGTACAGGCTGGGGGCTGACTGGCTGGGCAGCAGCTCTGCAGCAAAAGACCTGAGGGTTACAGTGGACAATGAGCTGAATATGAGCCAGCAGTGTGCCCCTGTTGCCCAGAAGGCTAATGGCATACTGGGCTGCACTGGTAGAAGCGTTGCCAGGAGGTCAAGGGAAGAGATTATTCCCTTCTATTCTGCACTGGAGAGGCCATATTTGGAGTACTGTGTTCAGTTTTCGGTTACCCACTACCCAAAGGATGTGGACAAATTGGAGAAAGTCCAGTGGAGAGCAACAAAAATGGTGAGAGGGCTGCTGGACATGACTTATGAGCATAGACTGAGGGAACTGGGCTTAGCCTAGAGAAGAAGAGGCTGAGAGGGGACTTAAAAGCAGCTTTCAACTATCTGAAACGGGGTTTGAAAGAGGATGGAGCTGGATTGTTCTCAGTGGCAGATGAGAAAACAAGAAGCAATGGTCTCAAGTTGCAGGAAGGGAAGTTTAGGTTAGATATTAGGAAGAATTTTCTCACTAGGAGGGTAGTAAAACACTGGAACAGGTTACCCTGAAAAATGGTAGAAGCTCCATCCTTGGAGGTTTTCAAACCCTGGCTAAAGCTTTCACTGGGATGATCCAGTTCAGGGTTGAACAAGAGACCTCCAGAGATCCCTTCCAACTCTAACTTTCTATGATTCCAGGGTCCTCATGTGCAGAGATGTCTAAAAACTGTGCGTGCAGGTGAGCTGGCAGACTTGTAGATACACAAACCAAAGGAGTTGTCCAATTAATATTTTCTTGGTGGAAAGCACTTTGGTCTGCTAAAATACTTTACAACTAACAAAGTTGTCTTTCCTGTATGCTATATTAGTAATATACGTGAACCAGTAACAGTACGTTGTCATTCTGGAAAGTGCTGTTGTTTAAAATACTTTAATTTGTTACACAGAACATAAATAAATTCATTAAAAAGTAGTATGTGATATTATTGTTACCTGAAAAGGAAGTGTCCAAAGATGTTGTGGAATTTCCATTAAAAGATTTAAAGGCACTCTCAATCTATTCCCATAATCTACAAAGAAAACCTAGACAATAAGAAAAGTAAAATAAAATATAAGGATCAGTGCAGGACCTTAAAGGATCAAAGAATAACAGAATACTATACAAGTGAGTACAGGTAATTACAGAACAACCCTACTATGGTATATGAGATTACTTTAATTTCATACTGGTTCACCACAGGATGATGGCATGGGCCAATGTGTTGCACCCATAAAAAACCAAATACATCCTACAACGTATCAGGGGAGGGGGCCGCAGGAAGACGAGGAGACACCACCCAA